CAAATTCCTGCTGCTTTTCCTGGGGTTTCCTCAGCATCTTGCTGGAGGAGGTGAGAGATTCAAGATGGGAATTCCCACCTGGAGCCATCCCAAAGTGTCCAAATCTCCTTTTCCCGGATGGGAATTCCCAAAAAAGTGTCCAAATTCCTGATGGTCTTCCTGAGCTTCCTTCCTCATCATCCAGCTGGAGCAGGTGAGATTCCCGATGGGAATTCCCAAAAAAGTGTCCAAATTCCTGCTGCTTTTCCTGGGGTTTCCCCATCATCCCACTGGAGAAGGTGAGAGATTCGGGATGGGAATTCCCATTGGGAATCTCACCTGCTCCAGCAGGATGACGAGGAAGGATCCCCAGGAAAAGGAGATTTGGACACTTTGGGATGGCTCCAGGTGGGAATTCCCATTGGGAATCTCTCACCTGCTGCTGTGAAGTGTCCAAATTCCGGCTGCTCTTCCCGCCCAAACTGCTCCAGGATTCTGGGATCCTTGGATTGCTCCCAAAATTGGGGCACTCCCCTGGGATATTCCTGCATTCCAAGCAGGAATCCACATCCCGTCCCTGGGCACCTGCAGCTCTGGGATGCTCCCAGCCTCATTCCCAGGAGGAATTTTGCCATGGAAGAGCTGCATTCCCAAATTCCAGCCGGGAAGGGAAGCTGGGAGAAGCAGGAGCTCTCCCTGGTTTTCTTCCCCCGCCATCCCATAATTCCTTCAACCCTTTCCCTGTGCAACATTCCCGCCTCTCCCGAATTCCTCGTTCATTCCGGAGGCAGCTCCAGATGGGAGGAATTCTAATCAGGATTTAATTGCAGAGCACAGCTTGAGCCTCATTAATATTCCCAGAAAAAAAAAAAAACACGGGAGCTTTGTCTGAGCACCCGGAGCGCTCCAGCTCCGGCCTCATCCCGGCTCCTTCCTCCCAGATCCCAGCTGGAATCTCCATCCACACTCCCTCGATCCCGAATCCTGAGGAAAAACCCAGGAATTCCCAGAAAATCCCACTTTTTTCCTGGCAAAATCCCGCTGGGATAAAAGCAGGGAGGGCGTTTGCCACCTGTTCCGAAGGGATCCTTGGAAATCCTGGGATTTCCAGCTCATCAATCCCGCCTGGAGCAGCCCTGGATGCTGGAGGAGTTAATAAATTCCCAATTTTTTTTTTTTTATTTTTTTTTGTTAATCCGGAGCTCTGATTAGCTCGTTAAGGAGAAACTAATTTTCCTTGGAAACCAGCAGCTCCCTAATTAATTGGGATCCATAATTAGAAGCTAATGAAGGTAACCCGGATACCGCGGAGCCGCTCCGTGGATTCGCCGCCGTATTTTTGGATCTTTTCCCTGGATTTTGCCCTCAGCAAAGCTCCCCGGAATCTGGGCCGGGGCCATCTGCTCCTCCCGCTCATCCCAAATCCACATCCCGGGGTTTTCATGGAGCGATCCAAGGGATGTGTGGGTTGGGAAGAGGGATCTTTGTTCCTCCTTCCTCCCGGATTCCAGAGCCTCGGGACTGGGAGGGAGCCTTGGGATAAAAATATCCCAAGGGAGTGGGCGAAGGATCGGGAAAAGCAGGAGTGGCTCCATAGGAACGAGAGAATCCTGGAATGGTTTGGGTTGGAAAGGACATTAAAGATCATCCCATTCCATGGATAGGACAGGGCTGGATTTGGGATGAGAAAAAGCTGGATTTGGGATGGGAAAAGGGCTGGATTTGGGATAGGGAAAAGATGGATTTGGGATGGGGAAAAAGCTGGCTTTGGGATAGGAAAACAGCTGGATTTGGGATGGGGAAAAAGCTGGATTTGGGATAGGGAAAAAGGCGGATTTGGGATAGGACAGGGACAATTCCCACTGTCCCAGGATACTCCAAGCCCTCTCCAACCTGGCTTTGAGGATTTGGTCCTGGAGACCCCTTGGAAAATATTCCTGTATTTTGAGTCAGGCAACAAAAATCCTTGGATGCTGCAATTCCATGGGGAAGCATCTCGGTGCCGTCACATCCCATCCTTCTGGAGCTCATCCCAATCTCCCAGAGACTGGGAATGCTGGGAATGTTCCCCTGGAGAAGGGGAGGATCCAGGGAATCCTCAGAGCCCCTTCCAGGGCCTAAAGGAGCTCTGGGAAAGCTGGAGAGGGATTTGGGATAAGGATTTTGTTGGGATCACCATGGATCCCTTTGCAGGGAATCACTTCCATGGAAACAGAGGGGTTTTTGTTCCTGCTGGGAATGAGGAGCTGTTTTCCAGGGACAGACAATGCTCTCTCCCAAAGGAAGTGGGAACGGGAAGGGGGAGCCTCTGCTTATCCGGAGGAAACTGAAATCCAAACTCCTGCTCCCGTCACTGCCGGGATTGTGGGAATGGCTGGATCTGGGATTGGGAAAAAGGCTGGATTTGGGATGGGGACAGGGCTGGATTTGGGATGGGAAAAGGGCTGGATTTGGGATAGGGACAGGACTGGATTTGGGATAGAAAAAACATTGGATTTGGAATGGGGAAAAAGCTGGATTTGGGATATGACAGCACTGGATTTAGAATAGGACAGGGCATGGAATTCCCAAACCTCCCCAGGTTCCCTTCCATGTTCCCTTGGGATTTTCCATCCGGGAATGGGATTGTTCCATCCAGGAATGGGATCTGGAGGTGCTGCCCAATGGATGCTGCATCCATTCCTGAGGTTTTCCATGTGGGATTGAAGGATGGAGCAGAATCCAGGGATTTCTCCACATCTGTGGAGCTTTCCAGGGAATGGGAGGGTTTGGAAGTGCTCCTGGTTTGTGTTTTCCAAGGGAAAAGTGGGTTTGGGGAATTTTGGGTATTGAAATAATTTATCCAAGATTTCCTGCTGGATGGATTTCCAGGAAAAGTGGAATTCAGCCGTGGCTGTGCTGCTCCAAGGGTGGGAATTGAGGATTTTCCCCATCCCTTGGATTTGGTGCTGATGGATCCGATGGAAAATTCATCCTGGATTTCCATCAGGGAGGGAAATTCCATCCCTCTCATCCCGGGGATGGCTCTGAGTCCACTGGAATTCCCAGGATTCTCTACACCGATCCTCGGGATCCGCAATCCCATTCCCTGATTCCTGAATCCAGAGGATTTCCATCCCTCTGCCTGCTGCTATTCCAGCCATTCCCAGGGAAAGAATTCCCTTTCCACAACCCCCAATCCCCAAAACTCACAATTTTCCCAAATAATTTTCCCTTTTCCCACCATGACCCGAAGGATTTTTTTCCCTTTTCCAAGCTCTTCAGCAAAGGGAGGGGCGGGAGCTGCCGGAAGATTTTCCCCTTCCAGCCTTTTCCGTGGAAAAGCTCGGAGCTGCCGGAGCCGGGAGAGCTCCAGGCTGTCCCTGAGGGGCCGGAATCTGGGTCACTGCTCTTCCCTCAGCCGGGGATCAGGGATCCAGGGATTAGGATTCACCTTGGATTAACTCCTGCCTGCCAGCACGGCCCCGCTGAAAAACGGGAAAAAGCAGCCGGAATCCTGGGTTTTTTTTAGGGATTTTTTCCTTTTATTGCCTTTATTTTCCCTTTTCATTTTCCCTTTTTTCTTTCCATTTTTCAGGTGCCCTGGGAATGGCACAATCCTTGTCCTTTTCCCACTCTGTGCAACCAATTTAATCAAAACTCCGGATTTCTTGGGAAGAAACGATCCCAAATAACCAAATAACCAAACTCAGCATTTTCCTCTTAAAATCCTGATAAATTTCAGGGAAAATCCATCAAGTCTCCTTGGAAAAGGAATTCACTCGGCTGATTCCTCAAAATGAAAGTGGTGGAATTTGAATTTGTGCTGTTAAAAATTCCATCCACCTGGAATTCTGTGATTTCTATGGGAATTTCTGTTGTGGCTGGGATGTGAATAAAGTCCTGGCAAAATCGGAAATTTGGGAAAAGAGGGATAAGCCGAGCCTTTGGATAAACAATGGGGGCTGGAATATTTCCTGTAACAAAGCTAAAACCAGGAATTGCATCCCAGGAATTCACTGGGAGGCAGAACTAAGGAATCACCGCCATTCCCATGTTTCCTTTTCCTACTCTGTCTCATCTTTGGGAATTTTCCTTCCCAAATTCCTCCCTGCAGCAGGAGGGAGGAAATGAATCCCAAGAAACCTTGGGATCGACAGCTCTGGGTCCGTTCCTGGCCCTGATCCGACTCCCCAGAGCTGCCGAGGGCAGAATTCCCAGCACATTCCTTTGTTCCCGATAAAAGGAGCCGGGAGCTCGGCACGGGAAAAGTCGGGAAGGAAAATCCATGAAATATTCAGCGGCTGTGCCGAGCTGACCCAGTTATTCCGCACGCTCCGAGCGCGGCTCCGGCACGGAGCCAGCACGGAGCAGGGAAGGACACCGGGGTGGAATCCGGACACGGAGATTCCTTGGGAATGGGGAGGATTCCTGCGGCCCATCCCGGTGGGATTCTTCCCAGGAGGCTCCATAAAAGCTTTGGGAATTCCGCATGGAGAGATCCCCATCCTGTGGGGTCACGGATTGAGGGTTGGCAGGAGTTGGTGATCCCAGAATTTGGGGTTTGCTCCACGGAGGAGAATCTTGGAAAATGGTGATTCCAAAGTTGGGGAGGGGAATCCAAACTTTGTGAGGAAAATCCGAACTTTGGGAAGGAAATCCAAACTTTGGGAGGGAAATCTGAACTTTGGGAAGGAAATCCAAACTTTGGGAGGGAAATTCCAAATGCTCCATCTCCAGGCTGGGTTGGATGAGCTTGGAGCAATCTGGGATAAGGGAAAGGGATCCTGGGCCATGGCAGGGATTGGGAAGGGATCTCCTGGAAGATCTTCCCACCCAAACCCTTCTGGGATTCTGGGATGCAGTGGTTGAGGGGCTCTGGAGTCTCTTCCAGTCCTTTTGCCCATGGATTTGGATCATGAAGAGAAAAGTTTGGATATTGGGAATATTCTGTCAGGGTAAAGGTTTTCCAGCTCTGTCCCCATTCCCAGAGGGATTGAAAATCCCTGTGGATTGATCTTGGAACTCTTTTCCAACCCCAATATTCCATGATTCCATGAATTCCCACTGAGCTCCCAGCTGTGCTTTCCCTGCTCCATGGAGTCTGGAGAATCCCATCCATGGATGAGCTGGGAATACTGGGAATATTGGATAAACCCAGTCCTTGGTTTGGCCCATCCCAGGCCGAGCTGGATCTCCCTTCTCCAACAATTTCCCCTCCCTGGAAACACGAATTTCTCCCCATATCTGATGGTTTTCCCGATGTTTTCCTTGATTTCCCATTCCAGACCGGCCGGATCGAGCCGAACTATCCCAAAGTTTGTGGCCACCAGGGAAACGTGCTGGACATCAAGTGGAACCCCTTCATTGAGAACATCATCGCCTCCTGCTCCGAGGACACCTCGGTGAGCCGGAATTCCGGGATGCAATTCCCAGATCCATCCATCCTCCCCATCCCATTGGTTCCCTATTTCGATATTTCCATGGCATTTATTTTGGGAATGCTGAGGGACAGGAAATCAAAGCCCATCCCAAATTGTGCCCAGCCTTGCTCCTGGGCTGGAATTCCTTCCTCTTCTTTTTTTTCCGGACACAAATGCGGAGCTGGGGAAAGGTCAGGGGGGTAATTCCCATGAGGAGCAGCTGAGGGAGCTGGGAATTCTCAGCCTGGAGAAAAATGGGATCTGGAGGGAATTCCAGGCTCTCCACAAGTTCCTGACAGGAGGGAGCAACTGGGAGAAGGTTCCTGGGAAAATTCAGGTTGGAAATCTCCATGGAGATAATGGAAAAAAGGAGCTAAATCCTGGGAAAAGTCCTGGGAAAAGAGGAGCTAAATCCTGGAAAAGTTCTGGCCTCCCAGGAGTTGGGATGTTCCAAACCCCATTCCAGGTCCAAATCTATCCTGGCTGGATTCTTCCCAAAATATCCCAAGGATTTGTTATTTATCCTTGAGGAATCATCAGCAGCCAGGCTGATCCTGGAATTCCTGGACAAGACAAGAATTCCAGGATGGGAGTTAGGATGTTCCAAACCCCATTCCAGGTGTGGATCTATCCTGGATTTTTCCCAAGGTATCCCAAGGGTTCATTATTTATCCTTAAGGAACCATCAGCAGCAGGGCTGATCCTGGAATTCCTGAAAGGATTTTTTTGGGGGGGGAGGAAGGAGCTTTGAAGGGCAGGAGTTGGGACACTCCAAACCCCATTCCAGGTGTAGATCTGTCCTGGATTTTTCCCAAGGATTTATTATTTATCCTTGAGGCGCCATCAGCGGCAGGGCTGATCCTGGAATTCCCAAAAGCGTTTTTTTGGGGGGGAGGGGAGGAAGGATCTTTGAAGGGCAGGAGCTGGGACGCTCCAAACGGCATTCCAGGTGCGGATCTGGGAGATTCCGGAGGGCGGGCTGAAGCGGAACATGACGGAGGCGGTGCTGGAGCTGTACGGGCACAGCCGCCGCGTCGGGCTCGTGGAGTGGCACCCGACCACCAACAACATCCTCTTCAGCGCCGGATACGACTACAAGGTCAGGATTCCCGGGAATGCCGCTCCCGAGGGTTTTCCCGGATTTCGGCACCGCCGGGAATCACCTGTGGATGGCCAGAGCGGGATGGTGGAATGGTGGAGGGGTGTGGGCAGGAAGGAGCTTAAAGATCATCTCATTCCATGCTTTCCATAGGACAGGGAGACATTCCATGGACCAGGGAGACATTCCATAGCTTCCACAGGTCAGGGAGAACTTTCATGGATCAGGAGCAGCTTCCAAAAACCAGGAACAGCTTCCATAGATAAGGAACAGCTTCCAAAAAACCAGGAACAGCTTCCATAGATCAGGAACAGCTTCCAAAAACCAGGAATAGCTTCCACAGACCAGGAACAGCTTCCATTGACCAAGGAGACCTCCCAGAAGCCAGGAACAGCTTCCAAAAGCCAGGAACAGCTTCCACAGCTCAT